CTCTCTCCCTTTCTCTCTATCTATGTCTCTGTGGGTGCAAGACAAGTGTCACATGATGCCCTTTATAACAAGCAGCACAGTGCATATGCATGGGTTGTCGCATGTATCCTCTTCTTAATCAATCTTACTTTTCACAACCTATCCCTCCATAGCTCGTATAAAATTCACCAACCATTCACCGACTATTTTGTACGACTACCATACTCAGAGCTGCTTGAAAAACGTGTTTTTCGCTCTCGGGCCAACCGTCGTCTAGTTCCAGATGTTGGAATTTAGATCGAGGAGGAACTCAGATCATTCATGCGTAGGGTCCTGCGTAGGCATATGGCGTAGGATAACGTAGGAGAGGCTGCGTAGGCAGTCTCGCGTAGGCACTTGTTTAGATGTTCTAGATTGTTTGTTTCTGACCTCGGAATCTTGTTTTTCTTGGTGGGTGGCAATGATGTTGCATGCAAACTGGATTCATGATATGATTCATATGTTTAGCTTAGCTAGAAGAAAGGCGAGATTAAAGAAACACTGGGTTAATCTTTCAGTTGGAACCTCTGATTTATGCCCGCCAGTAGCTGCAAGGGTCAGGGCGCACAAAAGAGACTCGTGCACGAAACATGCATAGATCATAAGAAATAGTTTTTATCTTGTATATAACCTCCTGCAACCGGGTTCTTAAAAAAAACGGCCATCCACAGGAAACCACAGAGATACCTTGCTTACCCCCGCAACCCCCAACTTCAATGTTGTGATCGGAAGTGCCGAGCATCCGCCAAACACAAAATTCAGAAGACAACATTGAATTGGGGATGGGGGGACATGACCTCTGTGGTGTGGTACTTCATGGGATGGCTGTTTTTTTTGAAGAACCCGGAATTACACGTGGCAACGTTTATCCCACTGTTTTAGATGTTCCATTTAAAGGGGATTTCCCATTGCCACGTTTGAATGCCGGAAAGGGAAAATCAGTCAATACTGTAATTAGTCCAGTTGATGTATGGGTATCCCACTTCCAGACAGAAAACCAGCTGAACCAGCTGATGTACATGGCACAGGCATGTGTGTTTTGACTTCTTGCATAATAGCCGCGTTGTCTCTGCCGACTGCCATGTCGTGGTCAGTTGAAAAATGTCCAAGAACATCGGGAGCAAGCATATCACGATTGATCAATCATACATATTACATGCATTTACTTATTTACACATCAATACATGTCAGACTATTGTCACTTAGTTTCGTTGATTAGAAACTGTTCACTCTTCTTCACCCTGCGAAAGTTCCACAAGAATCAACCCGAGGCGCTCACCAGGCGCTCCCATCCCAGAGACTAGACCACCCCTTTGAAAGCCAAGTCAGCGTCATGGCCTGAGGCGAAAATAAACTGACGGTTTCGGAAGAGAAGATCTCGGAATCTCGACTGCATCTTTCAGTGGATAGTCTCCTCGATAGTCTCTTGGATAGTTCCAGTTGCATCAGGCTGGCAGGAAGCACTCCGGCTCCATGACACTGACTGCTGGGGATGATCCCATGGTTCGATGTGATTCGATGCTCCAAGGATCCATAAGGATCCAATGATTTTCCACCCCATTTCTGCATTCTGCACGTCTCAGGACATGCCATTGACAAGGCCGGATGGGCTAAAGTTTGATCCGTTTGATCGCCTTTTTTCATGGATGTAATACATGTTTGCCCTGCCGCCGACCCCAGAGAGCTCATCAGATTGAAAGAAGCACGGCATGATTTTGCAGCTCAACATGTAGTACTTGGGCCAAACGTCACGTTTGAAACCCTAGATAAAGAACAATCCCTGCGGTTTTCCTGCTGCTGGCTGCTGTTTCTTTTGCGGCTGTGTTCTTGGGTATTTTGGCTGAAATGGCTGCCAAACAAGCGTTTTTGCTTCTGCTTGAGATGGTTTCGGAAACTCTCCGAAAACACGGAAGCTGCCTAACGTCACGTTTGACACCCTCGAGAAAAAGAACAATCCCTGCGGCTGTTCCTGCTGCTGGCTGCTGTTGCTGCTGCGGCTGTGTTCTTGTGCATTTTGGCCGAAATGGCTGCCAACCCTAGAAAAAGACGCAACAGTCCCTTAACGTATCTTAACGTTCTGTTTCAAATCCAAGAGAAAAAGAACGTGCGGAACGCCAGAAGACCATGGCAGTGTGCGTGGCTATGGCTGCGGCTGTGGCTGTGGCAGTTGCTGTTGTTGCTGTTGTTGTTGTTGCTGCTGGTGTTGTTGTTGTTGTTGTTGCTGTTGGTTGCTGGTTTTTGTTTTTGTTTGTTGTTGTTGTTGTTGTTGTCGTTGTCGTTGTCGTTGTCGTTGTCGTTGTCGTTGCTGTTGTTATCGTCGTTGTTGTCGTTGTTGTTGTTGTTGTTGTTGTGGTTGTTGTTGTTTGTTGTTTAAGGTTTGTGGTTTGTTGTTTGTTGCTGGTTGTTGTTTTTTTGTTGTTGGTTGTGGTTGTGGTTGTGGTTGTGGTTGTGGTTGTTGTTGCGGTTGTTGTTGTTGTTGTTGTTGTTGTCGTCGTTGTTGTTGTTGTCGTTGTTGGTTGTTGTTGGTTGTTGTTTTTTGGTTGTTGGTTGTTTGTTGATTGTTGGTTGTTGGTTGTTGTTTGTGGTTGTGGTTGTGGTTGTTGTTGTTGTTGTCGTTGTCGTTGTCGTTGTCGTTGTCGTTGTCGTTGTTGCTGCTGCTCCTGTTCTTGCTCCTGCTGTTGTTGCTGTTGTTGCTGTTGTTGCTGTTGTTGCTGTTGGTTGTTGCTGTTGTTGCTGTTGTTGCTGTTGTTGCTGTTGTTGTTGTTGCTGTTGTTGCTGTTGTTGCTGTTGTTGTTGTTGCTGTTGTTGCTGTTGTTGCTGTTGTTGCTGTCGCTGTCGCTGTCGCTGCTCCTGCTCCTGCTCCTGCTCCTGCTGCTGGTGTTGTTGTTGTTGTTGTGATTGTGATTGTGATTGTGATTGTCATGGTTTTTCAGAACACAAGTCTCCAATCTCTGTGCGCGTTTCCCCTTGCCATCGGCCAGGGTCGGCGGATATTTTGGATGCAATATGATAAATGTATATATATATATTATAATATACAATTATATATATATATATTGCAATACTTATGATGTAGTATAATAATGGAATCATAAGTTTGCCTGCATCAAGGTTTGACTCCAACTGGCTTCTCTCAAGTTGCAATGGAGCAATTTCCTCCTGGTTCTTGGCAGGGAGGAGCGCCGAGAAGAACGTGAACGCAAAAGCCGGGAGCGTCGACTTTCCATGGATCCCCGAACGGATTCCCAATTGGAGTCGTTACTTTCTCTCATGAGATGCTCGGCATTGGAGAATTGGGAGATCGCGTTGTCATGCGTTGTCAGTTTAAATTTTCCGTGGTTCAGAAGCAAGAAACCAAAAACAAACGCAAGAAAATGCAGAGGTTCGGTTGTGGTTTCAAGTCCTGTTTGAGACAGCACTTAGTCTTCGTGACTCTGGTTTCAGGCACAGACAGCACTTAGTATTGACTTGTAGAAGTGCCATTGATATTCCTGTACAGTAAGCATGTATCATGTACATTCATGTACTGTATTTGCAAAGCTGGTGCATGCCGGTGCCATTGTTCTGGGTTTTGATCTCGGAGTCCTAGGTGAGTGACAGTGAACATGTTTGTCGCTCATGGGTAGAGAAATGATTGAACCGATGGAGCCATCTGGACCTGAGTTATTGTATATTATTATATATTGTGATGTTTTGTTGTGCGCCAAGGCCAAGGTAAAAATGCCTACAAAGATTACAAAGGACAGGGTGACTTGAACGAAATTTCAGAGCTAGAATTTGCATATTTTGAATGCGTTGGGGTCTCAGCATTCGCCGCATTCGCGTGGAATTGGAGGATTGAGAGGTGTGGATTGAGAAGGATTGAGCTACGTCACATCGATTCATATCGTATGCCCAGGTGAAATCCATGAGCCTCAGCCGCTGGTGTCTGATGACTTGAAGAGCAGGTTCACTTCATTGGAATTCTTGTGACTAAGACACGTGTGGCACTGTATTGTGGCAGATATGATAATGGAATACAAGAGATATAGAATGATATAGATATTAGATAGAACATGTTCTTGGAATCTGCATCTTTGAATTTGTGCATCCGTTTGCCACTCTCCTTTCCTAGCGACATGGCATTAGCTGGCATCTGGCAATCCATCACGGACATCTTTGGACATCCCAGATCCCGCTCGACAGGTTGGAGAGTTTGGTGGAGCAGGTGAAGGAGACCTTGTCACTTGACTGCGGTTCTTGTCGAGAGCAGTATGAATGCCAGGCTTTTTTGATGGCTGCAAGGTGTTGCAAGATGCAAATGGATCAGCACAAGAATCATGTAAAGCATTGTAAAGCTAATTCTATCCAATTCTAACGTTTTGAGCAAACCTAGAGCCAAGGAGTGGTGTGAACGTCACTTCGCTCTTGGAACCCAAATACGACGAGAGCTATGGTGCGCAACCAATTGCCGAGCCTGAGGAAGCGGAGTACTACGACGGGAACTACCAGAGCGACTATGTGCAGAACGATGGTTTTGATGAACTCGACGGGCCTGTGGAAGGCTACGAAGAAATGGCGCAGATGGATGGTGCGAACTATGGAGGGCACGGACACATCCCCAATGGGCAGATGATGCCGATGCCAAACGGCCAGATGCACGGCCAAATGCCCGGCCAGATGCTGCACTATCAGCCACAGGGGATCCAGTCTGAGGGACAGGCAAGGCCATGAGTTTTCCATTGAAAACCCACTGCTGCATGTAGTTTGAAATACTTTGAACGTGCATAATTACTGTACATGTTCGTGTATATGATACATATATATAATATAATATATATATATATATTATTGTATATATATATATTATTGTATATATATATATATTATTGTATATATATATATATTGATATTGATATACAATTATATACACACACGTGATATCAGTTTTTCATAAACACCCATACAAGAATGGCATACATTGACATATGTATTAATTCGGATATATATTGTATCATAGGTGTATCTCAACACCGTAATACAATTGTTATCACAATTGTGCACGTTGACCCTAAAGTCGGCGAACATTGTCCGCCCTGAGATGCACTTCACGCAGTATGACCAGCAGTATGCGGAGCCACAGTATATGCCGCAACAAGTGGTCGCACAGATCCTTTTTCGCAGCCCCAGCTTTCCCATGTTTTGCCGTGTTTACCCATTCAATCCCTTCATGATCCTTCATGCAAGTTCCTGATGCCACATTGATGAGTCGATGCAGCTTGCCCCAGTCCCATTCCCTTGTCCTTCGCATACGTTGGCATGTCGTTTGTGGCTCCAAGAATGTTCACATGTGAGGTTGGCAGATTTCGGGTGTTTGAACTTTGGTTTGCACATCCACATACCCTTCTGGAAGATTCTGGAAGTAAAATAATGTAAAATATGCTTGCTATCATCCTGGTCCCCAAGCTTGAATATCATGTATCAACAAAGGGATCGCAGTTTAACAAAAGATGTCTTTGACATTCGTTGATGGTTTGTACATCAAGAAGCAGTGTATATCAGTGTTTCATGAGATACAAGATGGTCCATGGTCAGACATTTATCATCATTTATCTATGCAGTATAATATAATTATATTATATAATATGTATAAATATGTATATATTAATATACGTATTATATATACAATTATATAGTTACATGCATGCAGCATAAAAAAAAGGTTATGTTCTGTCTTGAATTTCCGAGGGCACCAGTGGCTCCAATCGCTCAACCTTTGCAGCACTTCGTCCAGCACCAAATGGCACCCGTGGCTCAGTCCCTTGGCTCAGACAGATGTCGTTAGAATTCGATAGATCATACTTTATCATATTTTATCTTTTTTGTCACTTTGCTGTTACTGCACGAAGCGTGCTTGGTCTTTGCCGACATGCAAACTTACCCATGAAAGTCAGGCTGTACGATTTCCTGACTAATGAGTTCAGTGCTGTTTAATTCGGCCAAATGCGTCGCCGGCTGACATGATCCTGTAAGATTGCGATCAGCCAAAAAGCGACCTATTGCAATGGCCAGTGATTTAATGTGATTGATCATACTTTATCATATTTTATCATACTTTATCATACTTTATCATACTTTATCATAATTTATCATACTTTATCATACTTTATCATAATTTATCATATTTTATCATACTTTATCATACGTTATCATAGTTTATCATACTTTATCATACTTTATCATACTTTATCATATTTTATCATACTTTATCATACGTTATCATAATTTATCATACTTTATCATACTTTATCATACTTTATCATATTTTATCATACTTTATCATACGTTATCATAATTTATCATACTTTATCATACTTTATCATACTTTATCATACGTTATTATGATACGTTATCATAATTTATCGTACTTTATCATACTTTATCATATTTTATCATACTTTATCATACTTTATCATACTTTATCATACGTTATCATACTTTATCATACTTTATCATACTTTATCATACTTTATCATACTTTATCATAATTTATCATACGTTATCATAATTTATCATACTTTATCATACTTTATCATACTTTATCATACTTTATCATACTTTATCATACTTTATCATAATTTATCATACTTTATCATACTTTATCATACGTTATCATACTTTATCATACTTTATCATAATTTATCATACTTAATCATACTTTATCATACTTTATCATATTTTATCATACTTTATCATACGTTATCATAATTTATCATACTTTATCATACTTTGTCATACTTTATCATACTTTATCATATGTTATCTTATATTATAATACTTTATCATACTTTATCATATGTTATCATACGTTATCATACGTTATCATACTTTATCATACTTTATCATACTTTATCATACGTTATCATCTTTATCATACTTTATCATACGTTATCATACTTTATCATACTTTATCATACTTTATCATACTTTATTATATTTTATCATACTTTATCATACTTTATCATACTTTATCATACGTTATCATAATTTATCATACTTTATCATACTTTATCATACTTTATCATAATTTATCATACTTTATCATACGTTATCATAATTTATCGTACTTTATCATACTTTATCATACTTTATCATACTTTATCATACTTTATCATACGTTATCATAATTTATCATACTTTATCATACTTTATCATACTTTATCATAATTTATCATTATTTATCATACGTTATCATAATTTATCATACTTTATCATACTTTACAATACGTTATCATACTTTATCATAATTTATCATACGTTATCATACTTTATCATACTTTATCATAATTTATCATACTTTATCATATGTTATCTTATATTATAATACTTTATCATACTTTATCATATGTTATCATACGTTATCATACGTTATCATAATTTATCATACGTTATCATAATTTATCATACTTTATCATAATTTATCATACGTTATCATAATTTATCATAATTTATCATACTTTATCATACTTTATCATACTTTATCATACTTTATCATAATTTATCATACTTTATCATACTTTATCATACGTTATCATACTTTATCATACTTTATCATATTTTATCATACTTTATCATACGTTATCATACTTTATCATACTTTATCATACGTTATCATAATTTATCATACTTTATCATACTTTATCATACGTTATCATACTTTATCATACTTTATCATACTTTATCATACTTTATCATACTTTATCATACGTTATCATAATTTATCATACTTTATCGTACTTTATCATAATTTATCATACTTTATCATATTTTATCATACGTTATCATATTTTATCATACGTTATCATAATTTATCATACTTTATCATACTTTATCATACTTTATCAAACTTTATCATACTTTATCATACGTTATCATACTTTATCATACGTTATCATACTTTATCATACTTTATCATACGTTATCATACGTTATCATACGTTATCATATTTTATCATACTTTATCATACTTTATCATACTTTATCGTACTTTATCATACTTTATCATATTTTATCATAATTTATCATACTTTATCATATTTTATCATACTTTATCATACGTTATCATAATTTATCATACGTTATCATACTTTATCATACTTTATCATACTTTATCATATTTTATCATAATTTATCATACTTTATCATACTTTATCATACGTTTATTATAATAATACTTTATACGTTATCTTATATTATACTTTATCATACTTTATCATACTTTATCATATTTTATCATAATTTATCATACTTTATCATACTTTATCATACTTTATCATACGTTATCATACGTTATCATACGTTATCATACGTTATCATACATATCTTTATCATACTTTATCATACTTTATCATACGTTATCATTCTTTATCATATTTTATCATACTTTATCATACTTTATCATACGTTATCATAATTTATCATACTTTATCATAATTTATCATACTTTATCATATATACTTTATCATACATGTTTTATAATACTTTATCATACTTTATCATACTTTATCATAATTTATCATACTTTATCATACTTTATCATACTTTATCATACTTTATCATACTTTATCATACTTTATCATACTTTATCATACGTTACCATAATTTATCATAATTTATCATACTTTATCATACTTTATCATAATTTATCATTATTTATCATACGTTATCATACTTTATCATACTTTATCATACGTTATCTTATATTATAATACTTTATCATACTTTATCATATGTTATCATACTTTATCATACTTTATCATACTTTATCATACTTTATCATACGTTATCATAATTTATCATACTTTATCATACTTTATCATAATTTATCATACTTTATCATACTTTATCATACTTTATCATACTTTATCATACTTTATCATAATTTATCATACGTTTATCATACTTTATCATACTTTATCATACTTTATCATACTTTATCATACTTTATCATACTTTATCATACGTTATTATCATAATTTATCATACTTTATCATACTTTATCATAATTTATCATTTTTATCATACTTATCATACTTTATCATACTTTATCATACGTTATCTTATATTATAATACTTTATCATACTTTATCATATGTTATCATACATTTATCATACTTTATCATACTTTATCATACTTTATCATACGTTATCATACATACTTTATCATACTTTATCATACTTTATCATACTTTATCATACTTTATCATACGTTATCTAATTTATCATACTTTATCATACTTTATCATATTTATCATACGTTATCATACTTTATCATACTTTATCATACTTTATCATATATTTTATCATACTTTATCATACTTTATCATACTTTATCATACGTTATCATAATTTATATACTTTATCATACTTTATCATACTTTCATCATACTTTATCATACTTTATCATAATTTATCATATTTTATCATATTTTTTTAATACTTTATCGTACTTTATCATACGTTATCATACTTTATCATATATACTTTATCATACTTTATCATACTTTATCATACTTTATCATAATCATAATTTATCATACTTTATCATATCATACTTTATCATACTTTATCATACTTTTATCATATACTTTATCATTATCATAATTTATCATACTTTATCATACTTTATCATACTTTATCATACGTTATCATAATTTTTACTCTATCATACTTTATCATACTTTATCATAGTTGTTCATCCTTTATCATCCTTTACATGTATCATACTTTATCATATTTTATCATATTTTATCATACTTTATCGTACTTTATCATAATTTATCATACTTTATCATATATACTTTATCATACATATTTTATAATACTTTATCATACTTTATCCTAATTTATCATACTTTATCATACTTTATCATACTTTATCATACTTTTTCATTTTTTTATCATACTTTATCGTACTTTATCATACTTTATCGTACTTTATCATACTTTATCATACTTTATCATATGTTATCATACGTTATCATACGTTATCATACTTTAACATACTTTTTCATACTTTATCATACGTTATCATTCTTTATCATAGTTTATCATACTTTATCAGATTTTATCATACTTTATCATACGTTATCATAGTTTATCATACTTTATCATACTTTATCATACTTTATCATACTTTATCATACTTTATCATAATTTATCATATTTTATCATACTTTATACTTTATCATACTTTATCATACTTTATCATACTTTATCATACTTTATCATATATACTTTATCATACATATTTTATCATACTTTATCATACTTTTTCATACTTTATCATACTTTTTCATACTTTATCATACTTTATCATACTTTTTCATACTTTATCATACTTTTTCATACTTTATCATACTTTATCATACTTTATCATACGTTATCATTTTTATCATACTTTATCATACTTTATCATACTTTATCATAGTTGTTCATCCTTTATCATCCTCTACATGTATCATACTTTATCATATTTTATCATATTTTATCATACTTTATCGTACTTTATCATAATTTATCATACTTTATCATACTTTATCATACTTTATAATACTTTATCATACTTTATCATACTTTATCATAATTTATCATACTTTATCATACGTTATCATACTTTATCATACTTTTTCATACTTTATCATACTTTATCTTACATTATCATACTTTATCATACTTTATCATACGTTATCATACTTTATCATATTTTATCATACTTTATCATACTTTATCATACTTTATCATACTTTATCATATTTTATCATATTTTTTTAATACTTTATCGTACTTTATCATAATTTATCATACTTTATCATACTTTATCATACGTTATCATACTTTATCATACTTTATCATACTTTATCATAATTTATCATACTTTATCATACTTTATACTTTATCATACTTTATCATACTTTATTATAGGTGTTCATCCTTTATCATCCTTTACATGTATCATACTTTATCATATTTTATCATATATTTTTTTATACTTTATCGTACTTTATCATAATTTATCATACTTTATCATATATACTTTATCATACATATTTTATAATACTTTATCATACGTTATCATACTTTATCATAATTTATCATACTTTATCATACTTTATCATACTTTATCTTACATTATCATACTTTATCATACTTTATCATACTTTATCATACGTTATCATACGTTATCATACTTTATCATACTTTATCATACTTTATCATACGTTATCATACGTTATCATACGTTATTATACTTTATCATACTTTATCATACTTTATCATACTTTATCATACTTTATTATACTTTATCATACTTTATCATGATCTATGCCATATCTATGCCAATTCCATTCCAATTCCCACAATTTGTACTAATTTGTCATGTTGCTATGTTCTGATCTATCAAGTTGTATCTCTTGCTTATTTATTCGCCCATCCAACCATTTATCCAGTTGTTCATCTATTTGTCCATCCAAACCATTTTTTGCGTGAAGCTTGCGATGTGTTTGTTTCTCATTTCTGCTCCTTGTTCTACAGGATTCCCTATCAGTGATGTGTTCCAATTGGAATGCTGGTAGACCAGGTTGTCTACAGCTGTTTTTTTTTTGTGTGTCCATACAGCGGCAGTCTTAGCATGTCTTGGCACCGCACTGCTCTTGTCAGGTCACATGCACGTCTCCTGGCAGCATATCGATTTAGGATGAGTTATTGATGTAAAATGGTTTGGCCTATAGGTGGTCGGTACATTGGGTACTTGTCACATCTTGCTATACAATGTATTTTTTGCTGTGTCCCCTTTTGCAACCGCACTTGGAAAGGAATGTTGAATACAATGTATATAGATCTAGTTGCATGCATTTGTTCGACAAACATTAGGCCCCTTTTGGTGTCTCTCAATGTGAAAAAGTAGGAGATCTGATTTTGTACCAAACAATCAAAATATGTCAAGCATAAGTCAAAAGATCAAGATATCTCATGATATCTCACAATGTCTCAACATCTCTTAGTTTGCAGGGCTGAACAAGGTATTGAACATATTGAATAAGGTCTTAAGTCGCCAGAGTGCTCAGGTTATTGTGGCAGCATTGCTTTGCCCATTTCCCGTGAACCCGATCGATACAGCGAGCAAGAGCATCGAATGGATGCAATGTCAGAATTGGGCTGCTCAGCTGTCCCGAATTTTCTGTGGTCATTTGTGATCATGAGTTTCGCTGGATATCATTGAATTATAACTCCTGCTAGTCCCACATAGTCCAGCTATTACAAGAACCTTCAGGAATTTCTAGGAGCTTGAGTATTTTGACTATCTCTAATCACATGTTGTGTGCGATTGGTTCGAGAAGATTGCAAGGTATGGCGGCCCAAATGGGCCAGTCCATGTATGCACAACCTTCCAACGCTGACTACGGCATCTTGACTGTAAAGGACAATAAAGGACAGATATGTGGCGCCTTTGAAAGGTGCAGGCAAATACACGCACAGTACAGCTATATTTCTTACATTCACAAGCCACAAGCCTTGCAGATCTTGCAGATGCAGTGGATGCATGCCGTTGGGTGCCCTTGTGAGCCGGACCGGCAGTGCAACAAAATGGCAAATGAAATCATATGAATTCAAATGAATAAGTTATGAATATAATAAAATATGATGGTAATCGAGTCTGTAAACAGTGATGCCATAAAGGCCCTCAGTGCAGCAAGCTCTAAGAATGATCGCTGCACGACGGGACACGAAATTTTCAAGGAATGATGGGAAGCTTGGATGGCGAGACCTATGCTTGCGACAATGGTGGGGGCTATGAAGCTGTCTTCGAGAATCAGACAGGTTGCAAGGATGCAATCAGATGTTATACTTGGAGATGACCGGTCAAAGGAAGCAGAGTCTTTATCAAGAAAGAGTAGGCGATGCTAGGATTGCATGGCATCGGTGTTGTCAGTGACAGGGCGGCTTTGCAGTTTGAGATTCCTTGAACTTGGCCAGACACGACCAAATTCCAATAGCCTTCCGCAGGTTATATTGACGTACCGCAAGTGCCTTTCACATCTGTCAGTTGCTTGGCTGCCTTTGGTTGCATCACAGGAGGATGATGCCATGATATGCCATGGAAAAGTATGTAACTTGATGATACTTGATGTATCTTGATGTAACGTGCGGAACGATGCGTAACGTGTGTCCGTTTTGACCTCTGATTTGAGTGGCAGAGTTTGTTCTGGCACTGGACCTGGATTCGAGCACAGCATAGCACCGCATAGCGCAGCGATACCAAGGCTATGGCCCCCCTACAGTCGTTGGGGTTGGAGCTCCTGTCGTTCATTCCGTGACCACGAGGCAGGACTGATATGGACTGATCAGGTCATTTCACGTCATTTCGGGATGTGCGGTGCTTTGTAGAATTTTGATGAATTTTGTAGATCTTTATAGCCTGAAGTCCCATGAGACTCAGATTCTCATTCCCTCATTCCGGACAAGAGTATGGCCAAGAGTTGTGGCAATCTTTTCGCTGCTGTTTTATTTTGTGATATCGAGTACATCCGAAGACGACACTTTGAGAACGCTGAACAGTTCTTGTTTCGCCAGGGTCGGACGTCCAGTTTCACCTGTTCGAGAACATTCCCCTGTGCGTGGTCGAGGACCTGGGAGCCGAAGGCACAAATTCAAGCTTTGGATTCCAGGACAAAGCAATCATGCTGAATTCAACCTGATAAGATCTAGCTCGAAGCTGGGCCGACGAAGATCATTAGGATATCTTTATAGTTCATTATAGATATTATAGTTCTATGTATTCATTGTACGTATGTGTATATATATATTATATTATATAGTATGTAACAATCATCATCAATCATCTACTTACACCATCTTACACCAAGTGAGCTGTCAAAGACTTCAAAGTGCGGGACGGCTAGGAGCATCCCCAGTTCGCGGGGCATCGCCCATTCGTGGAGCTCCAGTCACAGGAAATCCAAGGCACGGTACGCGTTCCCTCAACGACGCGTAGCGTTGAACGGCGTTGTTCTGTCATTTCTTGCCTTCATGGTGACTTATGGATACTTGTGGGGCATATGTTCATGGGAATATGATGAGGATGATGATCGGATGATGGGAATATTCATGGGAGGATCATGGGGAATATCAAGTTCCATCTTCAGCAAACAGAGAGGCACCGCGAACTATCTCCATTTCGTGCACGCAGCGTAGGTGGGCTCGAAGTAGAAAGGGTGGACGGCTGTTGGAACGGAATCATTTCAGGGTCACCCAAGGCAAAGCCCCAATCTATGAGATTGGGCGTCCTCAGGACTCTGGATTCCCCAGATAGCTCAGAAACAATCAGAAAGATGCAATTTTACATCATTTTACATTTTGCTGTCGCACTTATCTCTGGATGATCTTGGATGTTTGTGCTGTACTCCTGCTTGGGTAAAAGTCAGCTGCTTGGGTAAAAGTCAGCAGCGATGTTGAAGGCATTTCTTTCGGCGGCGAAATACAGTAAGAATCCCTACCCTCTTAAAAATGAAATTTGAGGGGGGGGAGTCGTACTTAAATGTCATTTTAAAATTCCATTTTTGCATTTATTTTTCTCAATGATCAACATTCCTCGTCATTCCATATCATTGGCAAACAGATTAAAATTAAATACTTGCGCTTAGCTCCGGAGGAGCTAAGCACATGTCAGACTGAAGCAGCACATGTGTAGGGGTGGCATCCCTCCAAAAATTGCGTTGCCACCATCATACTTGCGCTTAGCTCCTCCGGAGCTAAGCGCAAGTATTTTCTAACCAGTGCCCAAGGCTTGTCAAGAAATGTTACTTTAAAATTCCATTTGAGCAATTGGATCACTATCCCAGGGTTTCCAAGCAAAAAAAAGTGGAATTCGACCAGTTAGTTTTGAACCACCCCCGCCCTCCCCCTCTATAGGGGTAGGGATCAGCAAGATAGTGAAATCGCTTGTTGAGCCAAGAATCTAGCGAACGATAATCAAATATGTGATTATAATCTGATCATGGAGTTAATATGATTTAATTAAAGATAATTTTGATAATTGATCAGATTAACATATTAAGCATTATTTTATCAATTAACTCATGTATACTCATTAAGCTTGTATGATTCATCGATTGGGGGGTTCCCGGCCATATGTCGCTGTGTCGAGCCTTGTGGCAGGAGATCCGCCCAGTTTCAGCTTTCAGCCAGGTGGTGAGGTCCTTAAACCCACAGGTCGCAGAAAATGTTGCGTGGGTGTTACCTGTTGATGTTTGGAAGCCATTTTTGAAAGCGTCATGTCTGCCTATGGGGAGCCACAGGTCGACCAAGATTCAATTTGACTTGCAAGAGCATGGCCAAGTTGTCAACTGTAGTTTGGCAACAGCCACGCAAAGCCAAGAGACCGAGCAGACTGTGAAGCTTGATTTGTGTCCCTTGTTCTTAGGCTTGGTGTCCAACGTGAGCCCAGTGCCGGTGAACGTGATGACTTCAGGCTAGTGTTTGGAACAGCTGTCCATGTTGTCCATGGCATGGTCATCTGAGAGTCCAAGAGGATTCTTCCGCACATATGGAATGAAGTGTACCTACTCACCTAGATGTTTGCTAATATTCGTGGTGGCTACTTACTGGCTGGAGCTTGTGGCTTAATCACAAACTGAGCTGGTTGCCAGAGGATTTATCCTGCATTTTGTCCATGATCTGTGATGAGAAGAGGGCAGAGGGAATTATGTTATGTTATTTCAATGTACCATTGGAAACTTCCGGATATGATGCATGTGCAATCAAGTTTTGACCCCTCGTCTATCCCAGGGTTTGTTTCAGCCTCCGGACTTCATTCAAGAGGAATACAGTAAGTTAAATTTGGATCATCCATCAAAACATATCAAAACTGACCTAGCGAACTCAATGATTTTGTCCTTATAGAGTCAAGACAAATCTTGACCAGTGTCCACTTTTGTGCACACATATCCCAACAAATAGTTTGAAACATCATATACTCACAATATAATATATATACTATACAATTGTAGTTGTATTTGTTTGGCCACATATTCAAAACAAATCCAGAAGCTGCGCTGCAACAATAGCACACTGCAGGTGCCACAGCATCTCCAGGTATGATTCCGCATCTTGGACTTCACATGGGCCACCACTCAGCCAACACGCAGAGCAATCACACCGAACACTTCACTTTCGAAGCTGCCACACATTTCGAGTTGTGGTCGTCCCCCCACTAATTGGGCTTCAATTACTCATTACTAGGAATCCCTGATGGTTTGATGGTTTCTGAAGCTATCATCGAGGTGGGTTTGAATCCCCAAGACCGGGGTCGATCGAGACATGGCCAAGGCCTGCCACCATCAAGGAAGATCCCCCAAAAGAGGAGGAGGACGCTGACAGCCCAGATTCAGAAGTGATTTCCTGTAGAAGTTCATGATAGTTCATGCCTCACTGGAGATGAAGCTTCAGCAAACATGCAAACATTGGACTGGCCTGCTTAGTTCAATCATGCTATATACTATATACTTGACATATTATCTTGACATGTCCAAATCAAACAATTCCTTGGTTCGAACCCTTCAGGATAGTTCTTCCGATGAGGAAGAGGAGAAGCCAAGCGCAGGCGCAACCATTCTCGGCCGATTGTATCTCGACTTGCACATAGGGTGCTTGAAAGCTGGAAGTGTGCAAGGTGGCGTATTGAACAGGAGCATTTGCAGACTCCCGATAATCGTTGCTGCCCAAAGTCGTTGCAACCCAGGTTCCATGGATCAGCCTGATACTGAAAAATGCTTATTGCCATTTATAGCTGAGTCTCACTGAAATCGCTGATTTGACTGCTTCAGCCTGCGATGCTGGACGATCTAGATTGCTTTGTCAAAAGGAGAGGGAGCACGGGATTATGGGCACACATAGTCAACTGATTTTTTGGTATAGTTTGGAATTTACAACAAAAAACAATGATATAGATATAGCACCTTCTTAGGATGAAACAGGCGTCAACGAGACTATATTTTGCTCGGATTTCTTGCGCACTTGGAACAGTCCTGCTTTGTCGGGCCATGGACTCTGGACACATGACGACATGTGTAGCTGAGTCAGGTGACATTATTGGAGAAGATGGGGCAGTTCTTTTGGAGAATCATTGCTCGCATGGGGTTATGACATGGTCATGAGTTAGATTCAAACTGTTTGAAGTTGCATCATATTGCATCCCCCTGTGAATTGAAGACAGACCCACGGAGTGATGAAATTGAAAAGACAAAGGTTGTTGTAGGCCTTGCTCTGAAGCAAAGCGGTCTCTTAGACACAGATGGCCCAATCTTATTGACTTAGGTGATTCCAGCAGTGGTTCTGTTCATGATCGTCCCAGCCGTGAATGTTCTCTGGGACTTACAAGCCAGTTCCAGTACAGCGCTCTTATGCCCTTGATGCTTTGGGGCTCTGTCAAGTGGTCCGATGTTGGAAGCAACTCTCGTGTCTTCCTGCTGTGCATCACTAGCTTTAGGCAGTATAGAGATCCAGGATGATCCACAATTTCAGCAAGACATGGTTGCTTTCTTGGTCTCAATGGTCTTATTTTGTTTTGTTTCAAGAGTCGTCTTCGCTTTTGGCTGAAGAGCTTCGTCTGGAACGACAGGTTCCCTCCGAACTGAAGCCTCGAACCATGTACGCTTCAGATGGCTTGTAATCATGAACCCGATTGTGTGTGGCGAATGACAGGAAATCACATATAGTAGCGGGGCAACAATATGCAGTCCTTGAATGTCCTTGACGGGCTCATCGAATTCAGAAGCTTTCACCGACCGTCCAGCCAGGTGCGCAAAATTGGAAGGACCGAAAGAATTGCTGGATGCAATCTCTCTCTGTTATGAGTTAGATTCAAACTGTTTGAAATGAAAGAGTTCAGAAGGTTCGAGTTACACAAATTCACATCAGGCATTCTTAAAATTCAAGCTTCACCCCCCCGATTCAAGAGATGTTTGCGAGGTGACACTGTCCATCGATTTTTGGCATGCTGAAATACTTACTCTGGCCATCTCTGGCCGACATACTTTGCGCTTGCCACAGAATTTTTCCTGCATTCTTTTCCTGTAAGTATTGCTGATGATGAGCTGCCAGCAAGGAACTATCGGCGCACGTTGAAAGCTCCAATCCAAGACCAGCTTCAGTCCTGCACAAGATTCTTTACAGGAATCTGTCAACACAGTCGTCACAACTTGAGCTAGCCTCACATCAGGAAAGAGTGAGGAAGAGATGATTCCGCCAGTAAACTAGCCACCGTATGCCACCGTGAGTGGTAAATTTGTGTGTTGAGTGAAGACATTTGTTGTTTCACAGTGCAAAATGATGTCAGAGTCTCAGCGCCTCAAGCGTGCAAGAGACCCATCAAGTACAGTGTGGTCAGCTTCAGTCGGGTAGCAGTTGCAAAAGGTTCACGCATTTTGTGGCGGGCTGGAACTTCTTAAAGCGATCCCTACCCTCTTTCTTAAAAATGGAATTTGAGGGCGGGGGAGTCGTACTGAAATTTCATTTAAAAATTCCATTTTTGCAATCATGTGGCGTTTGCATTCCAAGAAGAAGAGGTATCCACTGCGCTTGATTGGATGGGTTTGTTTCTCTTGCCACAAGCCTTCAATTGACAGCACCTCGTGGAGTCTCGAAGAGCCGGAAAGCAGTTTGAAGGCTTGTCTGCCTTGCTGGCCTGCAGCCAAACTTCAAGCGTAAATTTGGAAGAATTGATCCCTCGGTTTCAACCAGACTTCCATACCATTCCATGCCATTCCGTACCACACATCCGGGTAAGGAGCTACAAGGGCCAGCAGGTGGCCAGCAGAGTTACCCGAGTTACCCTTTATAGGTACCATCATTTAAGATGCTAAGGGCTGCTTCAAGAAGGCCAGGTAAGATATTTGCCACCCAGACTATACGGAAGACAACCTCACAGAGATGCTAAGGCTGCTCCAAGTCAAGTCCTGAAGGCCCGCGATGCAATGTGAAATGCATTCAAACCACCGTGCGCAGAGCCTAGTGGGCTCAACGAGTCCGCCTGCGCTCAGTACACAGAACTTGTAAGCGTTACCTTTGAACGTGTGCCCCACGCTTACGGTAGATATTTTTGTCTGAACACTCTTGGTCCTGGATGCACACAAAGAAGAACACAACTGCACTTTGGTTTGCCGAACCAAAACGGCAAATAAAGATCAGGGGGCTCAGCCCCAGGTGCTTCCTGAATGCGTGCTCGCTTTGCACTGAAATCATGGCCTGAGGCGCAGGGTCATGCCAATCTTTAAAATTTCATATGCGACAGCTGAATCGCTTACAGATAGTGGGTCCACCGTTTTGGGACATCTTATAAATATTTATAAAATTTTATAAATTGAGTAACTTTGAAACATTGGTGAAGAGCCCCTGGTGACTATTCAGGCTACATTTTTAGGATGTGAACTAGCGGAATACATAATACTGGTAGTACGACAAAAAGTGGACACTATGGAAATCCAGTGAAAGCACACAATCTTGTTGTTTCAAGTGTTTTTTGTGTTTGTTTACATATCTCAAGGCCGTTTTCCTTTGCCAACCACTTTCACAAGACGCGCACAGCCATTCAGGAAGTGAAGTTGCAGAAATGATGCGAATTCATCGTCAGTTTAGTGTCCAGAGACCCCGAAAGTGGGTCTTTGGCTGGTTGAATGTTGAAATATGTTGAAATAGTACAGAGCTGTCAGCCTTGCTATTGTTAGATGGAAACGAAAGTAGTTCCAGCCTTGTGATATTGATGCCCGAACTTGGGATACTGATGCTAAGTCTGCTAAGTCATTTTTTGCAGCTGGTTTGAACCTTTGAGCCTTCACAGTCCTGTCACCGTCACCCATCCTTTTGGCTCAAGTGGACGTGCGCAATTGACTTCTGCCTCGGCGCTTCTTGCGCTTCGGGTGCCACCGTGGTGGAACGAAGCCAGGGAATGTACAGAGATCATCCTCATTCAATTTCATCCACCGGGCCGTGCGCAATTGACTTTTGCCGCAGCGCTTCTTGCGCTTCGGGTGCCAGGGAATGTACAGAGATCATCCTCATTCAATTTCATCCACCGGGCTAATTCATGATCTGATCAACAGCACCTTCGTTTGATACAGGAATGGCTGGTGAAGCGCTTGGGAATCAAAGATGACCTGAACTTTTTGACTTCATTTGTTGGCAATTTCTGCGTAACTGATTCGGGTGCAGCTGACTTGACTTCCAAAGGCACCAATTTTTCTGTTAAGCCTTTCTGCAGAATTGCGCCTTTGAAGCCACTGACAGCACTCTCAGTCTTCCCCTAGATGAAACCCAGCAATTCCAGGAGCAAAACGTTGAAGATCTCGGGGGTTGACCCTTGTCATGCAATCTTCGGGGTGTTTAGACAAATTGCATCCCTGCAACACTTGTGTGCCTCAGATTTTTTGCCGAAGAAACAGAAGAAGACATGCCTTGGCATGAGACGGTATTCAGAGCGACGGCGAACAAGAAAGTTGGGCATGCCATGCCCAGCAATCGCAAAGCTTCCCATGCCATAGTTAAGGCCACGTGGTCCTTGAGCCGAGCTGCGAAGAGCCATGCATAAAGTGGAAATGCAGCATACCATTGCGTCAATAAGTGAGTTGGTGATGCGTGATTCATTTGATTGATAGCCCTTCGGCCCTTCGGTTTCTTTTAGGGGAGGAATGCATATATCAGGATCCAGCGTGACCCAAAAGAGCAGCAATGAGCCTGCTGGATGGTGCGACCACATTGGTTTCGTCTGGTTTCACGGTGCAGCTCTGCTTTTGTTTACGCGCTCACGCAGACGGCAGGACTGATGCGTTTGAAGTTGGAGCACTATGTTGTGTTTGCTTAAGTAATTACTGTACAGGGTTTGGGTTTTGTTTGCGACATTCAACACAGTTGAAGATTAGTTGTGCCTCAAAATGATCAAACCATGGTTTTTGTATCACCCACCCCTAAAAATGTATTTTAGGGGGGGAGAGGTCAGGTAAAAAAAATACATTTACCGTTCTCCAAGAATTTGATTCCCCAGGACCCCCCCTAAATACATTATTTGACCGGTGGTTGTACGTTAAATGTAGGATCCATGGGTCGGGATATCCAACCCCCCCAGGATCTTTTATTTTGGGGGGGTGGTTTAATACATTTTACGGGTTTGGTTTTTCCAGGATCCCCGGGAATGTTTAAATTTTTTCTGGGGAATACCCTTCATTGAAAAATGTATTTTAGGGGGGTTGGGTAGCCGAAAAGCACATCATTTTGGGAAAATGGAGTTTATAGATCTTGCTAAGGTAGTCATTGGTACCCCCTGCAATGCATACATTTCAGAATATTTAAGATCGAGTATATTTCAGCCATTTTATGGCTCGAGGGCCCGCTAGTTGCCATTGGCCCAGAATGGTCTTCAATGGTCTTCAGCCTAGAATACTCCAGAATATTTTTAGGTGACCCCAGGTATTCCCAGGTTTCCCTATGGGTTTCAGTAGGTTTCCCAGGAAAAAAAAGATCAAGTGGATTGAGGTGCAGACCCCCCATGATTGCATACATTTAGAAAAGTTTATGTATCCATTGGCTCTTGTCAGTGGCGCCCCCACAAAGCATACATTTTCAGGTTCAATACCCCTACCAATAATACATTTCCAGCATCTGGCACTCATACATGCCTCATTTTGAGGGGTTACCCCCCCCTAGTTCCCATACATTTTTGGCAAAAAGTGAGGGGGTTAACCCCCCCCCTTATGTTCATACATTATCAGAAATGTAGGATCCACCCCCCCTACTCCTGAACTAGTTGGGGTCGGGGATGTTTTTGTTAAGATGTTTTCTAATGGTTCTTTCAAGTGTAACTGTAGCA